CATATGTGTATTCGCTGCTAACCTTTGTTTTCCCTCTCCGCCGCTGCAACGTTCATGCCTCGGGGGCAAATAAAGAACTGCAATTAAATAAGTTAACTACTTCACGCACTACACTTCCCGTTGTCTTAAAAACGACAAGCTTGAACATTGTGGGGTACGGTGCATATCTGCTCCCCCGCAAGTGCATCTTGATCAAGGGTCCGACGTCTTGCAGGGGGCGCAGTGTTTAGTATGATTTGGACTCAATGAATACCATGGCAGAGCAGATTCGTTGGTTTGAATCTTAGTTTATTTTATTTAGTGATTCAATTATTCATGTCGACCTTTTCTTGCTCTTACAAAATAAGTGCTCATTTTGAATTACATATAACTCCCTAAAGCTCCGTGTCAATATTTTCTAAAATTAGTATTCTTCTTCTGAAGTAAAAAAATAAACAAAAAATCCTGAAAATAATTTTTATTTTTAGAACAAATACTACGATGCTCGGAACCCTCTACGCCCGGCGTAGCTGTCAGTGGCTACAAAATACCCAAACTAAGGAAGAAACAGCTGAAAACAGAACGAAACACCTTAATTTCAAAAGCGCAAAAGACAAGGAGAGAACACAGAAAAAACAGGACAAGCGCTTACTAACAACTGATTGTTTAATGCATGATGAGAAGAAGACGAAAATGAGAGGTGAAATACTGAATTAAAATGCCAAGTGCATTCGCACGAAAAATGTTAAAAAAATATTTGATAAAAAATTAACAAAATTAAATGGAAAAAAATAGACGGATGGGAAGATAAAAAAAGAAAAGCAGCCAGATTAAGAAAAAAGGTTGAGCTACCCTATCTCTTTCCCGTACAGTGAAATTTATGGTGTGCTAACACACGTGTCTCCTTTTTCTATTATAGTTTCTGACTCAATAATTTTTCTGGCTCTCTGGCTCCGAAAGCATTTGAGTACTTTCGTCTTATTGAATAGAGGAGTGCATTTACAGTCTTTGACATGTATGGCCAAGTGTCGTGACGGTGACACATGCAGAGAAAGCTCATGCTCTCGTAATCGTACATTTACGCAGCGCCCAGATTGACCCACGTACACTCTCCCACACGTGCACGGAATTTCGTATACGATGTTGACGCTGCAGTCGATATATTTATGTGCGTGATGGACTAAGCGTTGCTCTTGTCTGACATTCTGGGAGTTAATTTAGGGACACAATTTCTTTTAAGCTTATCAGGAGCTGATGTTACAACCTCTATGTTATATGCATACGAGCTGTATGTCAGAGAGCCAGATAAATTTTTGCGGCAAAAACTAGAATAGGAAAAGGAGACACCTGCGTTAGAGCACCATCAATTTCACTGTCCGAGAAGGAGATGGGGTAACTCAACCTTTTTCTTAATCTGACTGCTTTTCTTTCTTTTTATTTTTCTATCCGTCTCTTTTTTTCATTTAATTTTGTTAATGATTATGAAATAATTTTTCAACAATTTTTTGCGAATGCAATCGGCAGTTTTATTTAGTATTTCTCCTCTCATTTTCGTCTTTCTCTTATCAAGCATTCTGTGTTCTGTCCTTGTCCTTTGCGCTTTTGTAATTGCGATGTGTAACCAACTAGCCCAACAGTTAATTTTTAGAAAGAAACAGCTGACATCAAAGCCTTTGCTACAATCACCCGATCAATACGACGGTTCAGGTTGATTCGCTACCCGCTGCCTCTTCTTGGTTTCAGCATCTCAATGTTTTCAGGGCTTAAAGGGCCTCTGACACGGCAAAAAAATTTTTTTTTCATGGTAGGCGTTGAAATGGCATGTCAGGACATTACAAAAAAAATGTTTTAGTATAGAGGTGCGTAGTTTTGTTTATAAAAATAGAAAAACGAGGCCCAGTTCAAAGTTCCCGCCAGTGCTCTGTGACGTAACAGTGTACCGCAAGGTGTCGGGGCGGTCAGAAGGTTGGCATCGCCGGAAGTCACGTGAGTTGTATCCTTCCTCGGGCTTACCGCGAGCGAGTGTAATATTTTTTAAATATTTTTGTTATTCTCCGCACCTCCACGAGCGATCCAAGCAGACAAGGTTTCTTTTTTCTGCTTTCCATCGCTTAATGTAGCTGTAAAGGTAGAAGACGAGTCAGTGAATTGACGTGACCAACTACAATGCCTAGAAGGTGCTGTGTGAGGGACTGTCCCGGTATTTCAGCAACTGAAGAAAAGATCACACTGCATGCATTTCCAAGAGACGGCAGGCATCTTCAGCCTGGGGTGTATACGATTATTCGACGACCTCGATGTCCGAACCTTCAGCAATGCGATTGGGCGTGTCAAACGCTAGCAATCCTAATTTCGGCGAGCGTTCTGATTTTTTTTTTTTTTCAAAACTTGATAGCTTGTTTTGTGCTTAGTATAGCTCTGTATCATCGGACTGACGGCATACACTCGTACACTCGCTTGTACTCGCAACGCTTTTATCATTGACCTGCATCACGTCGATCCACTGACTCTTTGTCCTCAACTTTTACAGCACGCAAACTAACCAGCGCTGCAGCAACAAAGAGCTAGTGGAACGGAAACTTCGTTTTCTACAATCGCTCGTACAAAGAGCGAAGAAAAAAAAGTCTTAGGCACGGTCGCGGAGAGCACGAGGAGCGAAACTCACGTGACTTCCTGCGAACCCACCTGTAGTGACGTAGGTCGATGCCTCCCTTCTGACCGCCCCGACACCTTGCGGTACACTGTTACGTCACATTGCACTGCCGGAAACTTTGAATTGGGCCTCGTATTTCTATTTTTTGTTTAAAAAAAAACTACGCAACTCTATAGTGAAACAATTTTTTGTAATGTCCTGACATGCCACTTCAAAACCTAGCATGAAAAAAAAAAACATTTTTTTGGCGTGTCAGAGGCCCTTTAACTTTGCCAGGAAAGAAAGAGCGCTGATATTAATTTACTAGACTGAATAATAACAGCAGGTATGGGATATTAAAAAAAATAACTATGAATTTATAATTGGAATGTCCTAGCTAAGCTAATATTTCATAGACTTATTAGTGTATTCTAATTAACTGCTTCGGTAAGTATCGCTTTGCGCCCTCTAATTAAGTACCATCGCTATTTGTGTTGTGTGTATGTTCATACAAGCGAAAACTAGTCAACCTAAATTGGCGTCTGCTCTCTCAGCTATAGGTGATCAAGAATAATCGCCATTACGACCCAAAATGGTTGAGGCGTGCCAGAGAGGCCAGAGGGCCATACCAGTTGGCCTAGTATACCAATATAAAAAGGAGACGAAAATCACAATGACAAATATGTAAGGCTATTTACCAGTTCACTGCAATGCTTGCTGAGAACGAGCAGCAGTGCGGTCCGGCGACTAAATTTCAAAAAATCGATGTGCGGCTGAACGACTATGCACAAAAATGCTGCACGGCTGGGCGACGTATCGTCCTTATGGCAACTGGGTCACTAGGGCATGAGTCTCTTATGGAGCGTGGAAGGGGAATCTCTCGCTGGACTCACATGATTAAAATCGGCGAACAACTTTAGGAAACTGTTGAAGAAAACAGAAGACAGAAAAGACGCCGACAGACACGTGGCGTGACGTGTTGAAGAAAACAGAAGACAGGAAGGACAGCGCATTTCCTCTCTTCTCATTTCTTCAACAATTTCCTAAGGTTGTTCGCTGATTTTAATCATGTGTAACCGGTACAAACTAGCCGAGCTCACCACCCTTCAACACCGCTGGACTGTGCGTTGAAGGGATGATTGCACAGGGTGCCTGCAAGATTAAGAAACAGGTTGTCATTCCGTGTCCGACGAATTTGGGGGACCAAGGGATGAAAGGCACCGACACAATTAAGTGTGTTGCTGCGTCATGTCGCAAGGGAGGTGGGCTGCGAGCGACCTGCGCGGAGTAGATCTGGAGTTGCCCTATGTCTGTAGGAACGAGTGAGGCGATGCACTCTGCAGGACACTGCGTAAGCTGTGCACTTATAGACACTGCAATCTTTAAGATGAGTTTCCTGGTGAGGGAACAAGTTTGGAGTGCAGCACTCAAGCTGTGATCGCACGAGCGCAGTCTGTAACATACGCAAAGCGTCTGCTCTGGCGCGAGGTGAGCCCCGTTATGAGAGTGCCATCATATGATGGGCACAACCTATGAGCGAAATTAAACGCGCATCAAACTTTTGCCGTTGGTGCACTCTAACTCCCAGGATGTTCGCTTGAGATACCTGTTTTAGTGACTGGCTAATTTCAACCGTTTTGCTTCCGACGTCTGCTATGATCAGCATGATGGTGGGCTTTGACAAATCAAGAGGCAGCCCATTCTGGGCCGACCGTGTATTAATTGTATCGATATATTCTTAGAGTTGGACATGGGAACCTGCTGCTTGAACCGGATTTATAAGTCTCAGGTCGTTGGCATAAAGTATTGGTTCACGCTTGAGATTAGTGGTGACATCATGAATGAACAATTGTAACAGCACTGGTTCTACGACAGAGCCGTGGGGATTCCACTTGCGACCAACCTGAGAGAGGAGCACGGCACAAACGCTAGCCTGGAGTCTTTAACTTGCAGAACGCAGTAGTGAAAAACAACCGCACGCCGGCACGATGATTATACAGATTATACGTGCACAGGTTGGGATTGAATCTAGTATCCCTGGGCTTTGTAGTGCGAGCTTTCGCTCCACGCGCACCTAGCTCCTGTGCGCTAACATTCAGCCACAGATCCCGCTCCCGTCCATTGCTGTAGATAATGTTTACTAGAAGAAAACGTTTTATTGATTAAAAATTCTCTCTTTTAGTTATTCTCATGCAGTAAGTTGGTCAAGTTTTGGCTTATAAAAATTTACAATAAAGTAAAAACACTTTTTGCTCCTAGGTAATTTTGAGAGTCGCCGATTTTGACCTCCCTAATATTTTTTTTCCATACATTTTTTACAGACACCCAGAAACTTGTAAAGTTTTTGATACTAAAACTAGTTGTGTAGATTAAATAACTTATGTTCCAGGCCGTCTCAAGTTCGACGTGGGTAGGCGGGGCGACATGATACTGCCGGCGAGCTTCCATCCGCACGAGGACCAGTGCAGCCGCCCCGAGCATGGCGACCTCTGCTTCCGGGCGGGCGATGAGCGCGTCAACGAGCAGCCGGGCCTGACGGCCATGCACACGCTCTGGCTCAGGCAACACAACTTCGTCGCCGGAAAGCTAGCAGGCCTCAACCCGCACTGGGACGACGAGCGCATCTTCCAGGAGGCAAGGTGAGACGACTTGTAATCACCAAGAACTCCGAGAATGAGTTCAGAGAGCGCAAACATAAAGTCTCAAATGTTTGATTTGACAAAATCACGTTTTTATGCTCCAGTTTGACCAGGTCGTTGGGCTCCCACTTCTTAAGACGACTTGTTTCGTTCGAAATGCGACTCTCGTTGAACGATTTGACGAATGTGGATACTTACAAAAATAAACATCCCTCGTCTGTAAACTTTCCTGTTTGCGGTCGTATCGACCGCAAACAGCTTATACTTGAAAGTAAATGTCAAACACTGAAGAGAAAGCTAGCTGCGGCGTGTTATTGGAATATATTTTAAAACTGTACAGGTCAATGCTGAGAACACAATATAATCTAATATGGCAATAACCTGGCCTGCAGTTGTAATAATGAACTGAAGTGCACGTAATAAACGGAAACACAAACTGAAGGTCGGTTATAACGGCATTTATAAACTGCCACTGGCGGTTACCAAAGAAGGACTGCCTTCCTAGATTCGAGTGACCTGTTCCTCTGTCGCTGAGAACATTGGCATTTTATGCTCTGACTGCTTGGATAAACTTTCACAGATACACATTGTTAGTATAAACAGCGTTATGCACAATCGGATTTAAAATAAGATGACAAAAGCTAATCTTCCGCATCGCGAGATTCAGCGCAAAAATGTATTACAAATTCTTCACAGAATGTTTAACGACCTTCTACAGATAATAGAGTAATTACTTAACTCTTGATGTGGGTACTCGAAACCAGGGCTGCGCAGACATACTTGAAAAAGTATTCGGGAATATAAATACTGAGATACACGTGTTCTAAGGCCCAAAACAGAGATACTGAGATATATTTGGGTTTTGTACAACGAAATATCCTTAAGATATTTCTGCGAAAGCAGCAGAAAAAAAAAATTCCGGGAGATAGTTAGCGATACATATAGACATACATTTGTTCCCGAACGGTGCTACGTGGAGGGCGTGTAGTTCGTGTCGAAGGCGAATGGTAATTTTTGCGTGTGCTCCTCTTTTCGCGCTATTTCATGCGCCACCCCTTACCTCACACTATTCATTTATCATTAATGCCGCTAAAAAGATAGCACCCCCCTTGAACCGCATAGGTACAGAACGGTAAAGACTGCGTACCATTCTTGACGAAAAGGCGTCCGCCCGAAATAAATCCTGCGTTCCCGTGAGGACGTCACTCAAACTTTCATCCTATATGCTTCTCAATCCCCCATAGTGTGAGGGGATTAGACAATAGGGTCGTACTTGTTCTTCGCCAAACTCCTATACAGCGTTCGCTCTGCTAAATTGGAAAGAGCTGAGGGCTTTATGAAAGGAGCTCATTTTTGTTTTGCAAGCAACCTTCTTTAAACCCAGCGTGCTACTTGCAGCTGAAGTTTATTCTCAGAAAGCACACATATATATAAACCGTGAAATCGCGACATGTACTACAGAAATGCGACATCACCCAATCAGTGTTCGTCTGTCCGCTATCTACTTTACGAAAGATCTAAAACAAAAGCCCCCTCAGAGCCAAACAGGGCCATAGACGGAGCGCTGACACATGTCCCTTCAACGCACTCAAATATGAAAAAAGCTTCGGATATCTCCCTTGTCATTTTGTTTCGGTTTCGGGCCAAGACAATGGTGTTGTCAAACTTCGGGACACACCCACATCTGTCACAGTGCACAGCCAGTACAGTAGTACGTGTCGCGATTTCACGGTGTTTATGTATGTGTGTTGTCTTAGAATAAACTTCAGTTGCAAGTAGCGCTCTGTGTTGTTCGTTTCTTTTAGCGCTTTTACCCTCAGAAACATGGATCACCAACTAGCCCAGGTCCATACCCTTCTTTAAACCATAGGTTTCTTTTTTAATGTTGGCGATTGAGACGGATCATTTTACAAGGCGGGTGCATATTCTAAATTCTGAAGCAACTTGCTCCAAGCAGATGTTTTTATTTTTTTAAATATATCTTAAAAAGTGCAACAAATGTAACAAGATACGTAAGTCTGGCAAATTATTGCAATACAAGCGATACATTGTAAATGTATCTCGATACAGAGATACCGATAGAGCAAAATATATTTTATACACTCTCGCGATGCATTTCTATCACGATATTGCGGAGCCCTGCTTGCATCAAACCCGGTAGCACCCTTTATCAAGCTCGCTGCTTTATTAACAGTTTCAAATAATATTTATTTTCATTACTTTTCAGCGACTACAACTCTCTTCCAGAAAATGCTGGCTCATTCGACTCGTTTAAATTGTTATCTTAATATGAATTGAAATGAAATGAAATCGTTATTTCCAGAAATTTACTCTGGCGGGCCTCCAGACAAAAAGCTGCCATATGGTAACTTGACTGGCTCTGGGGCCCTAAACCAAAACAAGCATAACAATCTGGCAGAAAAGTGGAATGCACTGAAAAGCCTCGTTATACAGCATGTAGAGTTTATCTTAACAACTAGGCGTGTACTTCAGTAACAACAAAAAGAGTAAACATATGAGAGAGCGCGAACTTTCGGCAGCAGGCATATTATGCGAAAGTGAGAAAAATAAAAATAAAAATGTCGTACAGAGACATCCGCGTTAGATAAAACACATATACAATGTAGTTCTAGTCAGAGAGTATACAACTATGTTTTCTAGATGGTACCTGTTGAGTAGAGAAGATAACATGTGGCGAAGGAATGGTAAAGCATGATTCGTGCGGAAATGAGGAACATACCATATCTCAAAGCAGCGCATGCTGATGGAAATTTCCTTTTTTTTTAAGTCCGAGGTGCGCCAAAGAAATTCAATAAATTCTTTTGTTCCACAAAGGAACCTATACAAAAGACGGTGCACGTGCATATTTGTAATGGCAATAATCCTAAATTTTTCAAACAGCGATTTAGTGTGATATAGAAAGTGTACATCAGCGATGATACGTAGGATCTTCCTTTGGATTAACTGTATTTTGTTCAAATTCGAAGTTGTGTTTGTTCCCCACACGAGGTGACAATAATTTATATGACAGCGGAAAAGGGCACAATAACTCATGAGTTTAATGTTAAAAGGTAATATTGAGTGGCATCTTCCAGCAACGCCAATGACTCTGCACAACCTGCTGGCCAAATTATTAATATGGCGATCCCACTCAAATGTTCAGAGAAAATTACGCCCACCGTTTTGTGGTGCTAAACTATGTCGATTACTGTACCACTTAAAGTAAGGGATTTAGTGAAGGAGACGTGCTCATTTTATGACCGAAATATGAGTGCCTTGGTTTTGTTTACATTGATTGTAGGGCAATTCACCTCAGACCATCTGGCGAATTGCGGGAGAATATTGTTCCCCTTAATAATTAAGCTTTCTGCGTCTACGACCGACACAAAAAGGCTGGTGTCGTCGGCATATATTACAGGCTGCGCAAGAGTAATAACCTTTACCACGTCGTTCATAAAAATGTTAAAGAGCCGAGGGCCCAGTATGCTACCCTAAGGCGCGAAGCAGCCTACGGCTTCAAGGGAAGTTCGTCCGTCGATGCTGACACGCTGCTGGCGATTGAAGATATAGGAATCCAAGAGTGAGAGTGCTGGACCACGTAAACCATAATACTTTAATTTATCAAAGAGTATTTGATGATTGAGGCAGTCAAACGCGTTACTAAAGTCAATAAAAATACCTAGTGTTAAAAACTGGTTTTGAATGTTATTTAGAACTATTTCTTTCTGGAATAAGAGCGCTGACTTTGTCGACCTTTTTCTAAATCGAAATTACGCGTCAGAATTACTATTTCATGTCGATGAAGAAAACATCCTACGCGACGTTTGACAAGCGTTTCTAGTTCCTTAGAAGAAAATCGGCAGTATGGACATTGGTCTATAGTTGGTCATTAGCTTCATATCACCTCCTTTGTGAATTACGGTAACTTTGACAAGTTTCATATTTGCGGGGAACTCACCGCAAGCCAAGCTGCGGTTAAATATATGTGCGAGGTACGGTGGAATAATGTTGTAGTGTTCCAAGAGGCAGACAAGAAGGAAGACGACGATAGGCCAGGATATAAAGAAGAGGAGGATGAAGAGGTCGAGAGAATAAAAACGCCAGTTTTGATCTCGACGCGTATTACGAACCGTTACACTTGGCGCAGTCGACAGGATTATATGAAAAATGTGGATTTACTCACTTTTGTAGATTGGCGAAGAAGGACAGCCAATACTGGAGGGCTAACTGCTGGACGGCGAGGAAACCGTTTCGATGGCCCTGGAAGCTAACAGCATGGAACTTATCTTCGTCATCGCTGGGAAAGCGAAATTGCCGCCGAAAGAGCTTCTTCTAAGACGGACGGTAAAACTAGACATCAGAGTGCAGGAATTCCAGGGGTGGTTTCAGAAGCCGACCACTACTTCTGGTCAAGTGACTTCGGCCGGTGGAGACATGGCATCGGTTGTTGCTCAGCTGCTACTGATGCTAGTATCTCAAATGGAACAGCAGAGGCAGTTCAGGACCACCATGTTGGAAACTATGAGAGTGCAAGAATGTAGGCGTGCTTCTACGTGGCTGGACTTCTACGAATACGTGTGTGAGAAAAACCGCGGGACAGAAAACAGCGAGCGGATTAAGAATTTAAGGCTCTTTCTCGCACTGAATGCGAAAACGTGGTACGAGCTTTGTGTGGCTGAGCACACCAATGATTCGTGAAATATGTAGAAGGAAAGCTTCACGACATCTTTTGACAAAAATGCGGTTGAACGGTGGAATGAGGCAATATTTTATAAACGTCGAATAGGCAGCCTACTAGATTAATTTTATGAGAAGCGGAGACTTCTACAGCTCGCCGGCTCTAATTTACCCGAAACATCGCTCGTCCCACTGGTCATCCACGGGATGAGCGAAGATGCACAAAGACAAGTGCAAGAGCAGTCTTCAAAGACCACCGAGGACCTTCTGTATTAACTGAAAGGTGTGTTCGTGGACCACTCCATTCCCCATGGGCAACAACG